TTAAGAAAAGCTTTTTTTATGAAAGAAAGAAAAACAAGCATATGCAAAAATATGCTTAGGAGGAACAGAGACAAAGCAGGGAGTACAGGAAAGCTTAATTTAATTTTACGTATTTATTTTTTGAAAGGAGTCTCACTCTGTTGCCTAGTCTGCAGTGCAGTGGTGTGATCTCGGCTCACTGCAACCTCTCCCTCCCAGGTTTAAGCGATTCTCCTGCCTCAGCCTCCCAAGTGGCTGTGACTACAGACATACACAACCACGCTTGGCTATTTTTTGTATTTTTAGTAGAGATGGGGTTTCGTCATGTTGGCCAGGCTGGTCTCAACTCAAGTGATCCGCCCACCTCTCCCTCCCAAAGTTCTGGGATTACAGGCATGAGCCACCACTCCTGGCCTGGAAATCTTCATTTTATAATGGTAATTAATAGCCTTCGATTGAAAACGATAAATCAGAGACAAGAAAGAGTCATGGAAATTAAAAATTTGATAAATAAAATGAAATATTTAACATTAGGGTTGGAAGATGAAGTTAAGGAAATCTCAGAGCATAGAGCAAAAGGACAAAAATGTGAAAAATAAAAGACATGGAAATCAGAACAATACAAGAGGTTTAATACATAACAAACAGAAGCTCCAAAAAGTTAAAAAAGGAGAAAAAAAAAGAGAGAAATTACCAAAGAAATAATCTAAGAACACATCCAAGATGTTAAGGGCGCACAATTCCAGATTTTTTTTAAAAAAAGTGCATAGTACTAGATACAGTGAATGAAAAAGAGCGACACCAAGGTGTATCATTATGAAATTTCAGGGATAAAGAAGATTTAAAATGTTATCAGAGTGAAAAAACAGGTTACACACATAGGGTGAGGAATCCAAATGGCCCTGGAATTAATAGTCAGAAAGTCAGAGGACCATGAAGAAATGCCTTTAAAATTCTGATTGAATGTGTTTTCTAAACTATAATTCTAGCTGGGCACAGTGGCTCATGCCTCTGATCCCAGCATTTTGGGAGGTGGAGGCAGGTGGATCACCTGCGGTCAGGTGTTTGAGACCAGCCTGGCCAACATGGTAAAACCTGTTTTTACTAAAAATACAAAAGAAGCCAGGTGAGGTGGCTCATGCCTGTAATCCCAGTACTTTGGGAGGCTGAGACGGGCAGATCGTGAGGTCAGGTGTTCAAGACCAGCCTGACCAACATGGTGAAACCCCAACTCTACTAAAAATATAAAAATTAGCCAGGTGTGTTGACATGCACCTGTAGTCCCAGCTACTCAGGAGACTGAGGCAGAAGAATTGCTTGAACCCAGGAGGCAGAGGTTGCAGTAAGCCAAGATTGCGCCACTGCACTCCAGCCTGGGTGCAATATTAGTATATATTCCTTGTAAGCATATATTGTTTTAAAGTGTGAATTAAAAGTCTTCCATTGGCCAGGCGCAGTGGCTCACGCCTATAATCCCAGCACTTTGGGAGGCCAAGGCGGGCAGATCACGTGGTCAAGAGATCCAGACGATCCTGGCCAACATGGTGCAACCCAGTCTCTACTAAAAATACAAAAATTAGCTTGGCGTGGTGGTGCGTGCCTGTAGTCCCAGCTACTAAGGAGGCTGAGGCAGGAGAATTGCTTGAACCCAGGAGGCGGAGGTGGCAGTGAGCCGAGTGTGCCACTGCACTCCAGCCTGGGTAACAGAGCAAGACTGTCTTAAAAACACAGAAAAAAAAAAAAAAAAAAAAAAAAAAAAAAAAAAAAAAAAAAAAGAAAGAAAACCTTATAATTCTACATCAGGTAAACTATTAATCAAATATAAAGATAAAGACTTTCTAAAAAATTGCTTCCATAGAAACAATCTCCCATTTACCCCATTTACCCTTTTGTAAGAAACTATGAGGACTTCTGCCAGTTTGAGGGAGTAATTCAAGAAAGAAGTGGGATCAAGAAAACAGACGACACAACACAGAAGGGTGGTGAAACGTTCCAAGAACGATGGTGAAAGACAATTGCAAGACTTCCATTAAGCAGCAGACCAAGAAAACTGCAGGACAGAAGTGGACAGAAGCAGCAGGGCAGAGAACTTTGGGAGAGGAGGAAAGAAGGCGGGAGGGAGAGAGGGAAAAGGGAATCAAATATAAGAACAACTGGGGAGGAAGGCAGCAAACCACACTGCCATGTGTGTACCTATGCAACAATCTTGCATGTTCTTCACATGTACCCCCAAAACCTAACATGCAATAATAAAAAAAAAGAACAACTATATTATTTGATGAGTTTGATCATATTGAATGTTTTACAGGATCAGAAAAATTTAAGCA